ATTTCAGTGTCTTAACAGAATACCAGTAACTTCAGCACCATGAAAATGATGCAAGAGTAGAGACAGTAGCTCCCTGTCTACAAAGCATTCTTCACATCTGTTCTCCCTTGAACCTTTCAAAACCATATAAATATGGAAAGGTGGTGTCATTATTCCCACTTTGCAGATGAGACCCAGAGAGGCCACCTTAAGGAAGTCACAGTGAGCGCCCTTGATCATCTGTCTCCTAATGCAGTGCTCTCTTCCCTTTGGCTGGCTGCCTGGATACCTGTCACCTCAGATCCCAGTCTTGCATCTCCTATAGGACAAAAGGTTTTCAATATTGGATTCTGACTTTGGGATAATCTAGGAAAGAAAAATGTGGCCCCTAAATACTCTTTTCTAACTTCTAAAGGAAAAAAAAAAAAAGAACAATGCTATGTTATCTGATTGGGGAATGGATATATTAAGAAGTAAAACAGAAAATGCAAGAGAAATGGGAATATCCACCTCACAGTTCTAAGAATTTTTTTAACTTGTTAATTTCATCAGCGAGGTGAGGATCTATTTCTCTGGCTCATCAATTGCATCATTCTGAAAAATGAAAATATACTCATTATGCAGAACTCCATTACAACAGGATAATTTTCAGATCCCATGGAGTGTGTCATAACAGAAGAGTAACTCCTGGGGCCATGAAGAAAGCTATGAAGATTGCTTCATATGCATTTACTCCTACTTGTCTCTAAAAGGTAGTGTATATGTGTAGAGACAAGAGAAGGGGGAAACGACAGGAAAGATCAGAGTAGTAAAACAGTCTATTTTCCCAGAAACTGACCCCAAGGCCTCATAGACTATAAAATGAAGGAAGAAATACCCTGAAACAGGACCCCAGGGTCCAAGAAACAAGGGAAGAGACTTGCTTACAAGTCAAACCTGCTTTATCTTTGTCTTCCTGCTATTTCCCTTAAGGATCTTTTCTCCCTTTAAGGGATATTTTTTTGGGGGGCGGGGGTAATAGATCTCAGAGATACTTTAATGAAACATAAAATCTGTCCCCTCCCCCCAAAAAAAACTGCACATGTACATGAAACCATATCTAGTTTCATGGCATCTTAGGCCCCATGAAGCACCCTTGAGAGCTGATGACCTACAGAGACATAAGGACCCCTATTTTAAGAGTCACATTGCTCTCATATTCCAGCACAAACTAATGGTAATTTCTTTCACTCATACAATTTTACCATTACAAAACTAATGGTAATTTCTTTCACATAATACAGCCTCCACAACTGGCAGAAAAGGGACAAGTATGTTTTGGTTTGATCTGTAACTCAGAGTCAATGAGAAGAGATGCAACACACAGGGAAAGGCTTTCCCCAGACAAGGCCGATCTCTGTGTGACCTCTGAGAGGGATCGTGTAAAGACTTGCGTTGCATTAGCAACACCAACTGATAAATGGGAGTCATGGAGGAGGCTACATGATTCAGGATGCTGTTCAATGAGCAAGATCCTTTATGGATAGAATAATCACACAGCATCAGTTACATGGGGTAGAAGAAAAGATGAGTGAAATGAAAAATGTGCTTATATAATCTAGGGCTTCAGGGAGACATGAGTCTGTTGGCCAGATAATTCTTATCTGCTTGATGACCAAGTGTTGTAAACTAAACCAAACCCCAGACCCCCAGCCATGGTTCCAATCTTATCAACAAGACACTCTACTTGTCAGCTCTGGGGTCCCTTTTTATACATCAGTCAAAGCCCCCGAACTCCCTTTCTGGTCAGTGGTCCCCAGGGCATTCTTGGTATAGGAATGCAGAACTGAGGTAACAAAAATGGTGGCTGCACAGGTTGTTTAGGATTAGCAGATTCACAGACCTCAGGACTGAATGATGGTCAAAGCAGGTGACCACCTGGCTGGTTCCAATCTAAATATCTAGACTGATTTTAGAATGCTCTACACAGTGACAGAAACTCACCTTGAGGGAATGTTCACCCCCCAAGTGACTGCTCAAAGGCGAAAGACATCAAGCTCCAGGAGAGGAGCACACTTGTAACATAGCTGATTTCAGCCATTCCACATGGCAGCTTAGGACCCTCAGCCCAAGGTGCCCTGCAAACAGCAGACAGAAATAGAAAGGGAGGCGGTAGGGAAGGAAAGACAATAGTGGGAGTTACAAGTGTTGGCTCCGAGAGAGCAAGGCCACACACCAATCCCACCTGACTCTAGATTTACTGTGAATGCCCTCAAAATATCTAGCCAATAGGCCTTCTTTTACTTTTACATATATATTGAAGATTTATTTATGCATAAGAACTGGGGTACAGACCAGAGGTGCAGCGGAAGTGAGAGGATTCGCCAGAGACAGAGTGGGGAGCAGAACAGGCAGAAGGACTCAAATTTCATTGCTGAAGGAAGCAGCGGGTGAGACAGGACAAGTCTCCCAAGCCACGTGGGTCAGCTCCCGGGCTATCTGGATCGAACTGGCACTGAAGTGGCTGCAACTAGCCTCGCTGTGCTGTGCTTTAACCCACTGCGCCACCAGGGAGAGCCCCCAAACTTGTATTTTAAGAGTCAACTTTTTATACCAAAGGACAGGCTTTGCTGAGAATACCTAATGTCTCCCATTATTCTCCAGTATTTGGTTAAGAAAAATTTCAGTAACTCCATCATTGGAAGGCTAAGGAAGGACTGCTGGGCACTAGGTGGGGTAGATCCGGTAGTGGGTCAGTATCCAGGTGTTTTCTTTAGTGGAACAATAGATGGTAGGAAGAAATGTGATTCCTTGCACTCAAGATCTGAAAGCAGCAATCAGGAGGCAGCATGAGACAGAGGTACAGAAGGAACGAGAGGACAGTACAGACAGACCCAGATCCGTCCAGCCGTGGCTGCAGGAAAGGGACTAAACACCAACAGAAAGCAGTGCTGTTCCCAGATCCTGGTTCTTGCCTTCTGCCTCCACAGATTTTGCATTGTGTGTTTATAATCGGCACTGTAACTTTACAATTTCCTGTAAGTAGACTCTTTTTAAAACTTACCCTCATCCTAAGGAGCAAAGTGCTAGCTATACTTTTCTCCAGTACACATGAGAATAAGTACTACAATAAATAGTAGCAGCAGACCTCTCCCATCTTGACCCTTGCTTCTCTTAGCAATGTCTTTCAATAAAACTGCTTTTTCTGGGCCCTCCCTGGTGGTGCAACAGGTTAAAGCACTGCACTACAAAGCTAGCTATAGTCACTTCAGCACCAGTTTCATGCCTGGGCAGGAGGTGACCCACATGGCACAGCAGACCTCTCTTGCCTTGCCTACTGCTCCCCTCAGTGGTATATTTCACTACATCTTCCTGTTCTGCTCCCCACCCCCTCTTACCACCCTCTAGACCTCTGGTCTGTACCCCAATTCTCTATGTATAAATAATTTTTTTTTAAAAAACCTACCTTTTCTGTTCTTCACTCTATCTCGGATAAAATCTTTTAGTCTCTGTACCTCCAGTTTAAACCAGATGCATCCACGGGACAAGTAACTAGGTATTTTATTGGAAACCTATCCTTTCTTCTATATATATGCTCCAGTTTTATTAAAAAGTTCTTTAAAACGATAAAATAAAAATGCTTTCTGGGCCCTCCCTGGTGATGCAATGGGTTAGGACACAGCACTGCAAACTAGCTGCAGCTGCTTCAGTGTGGGTTCAATCCTCGCCCCAGAGCTGACCCACATGGCGTAGCAGACCTCTCCTGACCCACCCACTGTTCCCCTCAGCAGTGTACACTTCATCAGTCTGCCTGTTCTGCACCCCACCCTATCTTTGGTAAGTCCTTTCACCACCCCTGGCTTGTACCCCAGTTCTGTATGCATAAATAAATAAATCTTACATACACAAAAAAGTTTAACATTAAAAAGAGAATGCTGGCCCTCCCTAGTGGCGCAGCAGGTTAAAGCACAGCACAAAAAAGCTTAAGCCACTTCCGCATGAGTTCGATTCCCGCCTGCCCCAGAGGAGTGTACTTCGTTGATCTGCCTGTTCTGCTCCCCGCTCTGTCTCTGATGAATCCTCTCACCCTCCGCATCTCTGGCCTGTACCCTGGTTCTGTGTGAATAAATAAATCTTTAAAAAAAAAAAAAAAAAGAATGCTTTCCATAATCTACAGTAACCAGCTGGCACCACACAGAAGCCCTGGTGCCACCCCTTAATACCCTCCCTTGGTAGCTAGGAGTCCTGCAACTTGTTCCTGACCCAGCCTCCTCTCTCCAGGCCTAATCTCTCAAGAGCCCCCCACCATCTTTCCCACTTCTGCTGAAGACCTACGGGCGTAGCCCTGCAGGGTTCTGACCATAAAGTTTGGTAAACTTCTGTGGGGCTGTGGCAAAGGGACCACTAAGAAAACAAGTTGACAGGGCCCAAGAGGTTTTCCAGCTTCTGCTCTTTCAGAAGCTACAGATGTGGATGGGGAAAGCACCTGGAAGAACAGGAACGGGGGTAACGAGGCAGTCTAGTACAGAGGAAAACAAATTTTCAAATTTTCACCCCAATATATGGTATCTCACTGACTAACTGAGGTTAAGTTTTTTTCAAATTTAAAATGAAGATAACCATACCCCCTTTCCTTAATTTTTTACAAATACCCCTCAACTTTCATTCAGTCTGAACTTTCAAAAATGCTTTACTGATAATCTTAAACTACTCTTGCAAGCCCTACTCAGACTTACACATAAGGGAGGGCCGACTCATGGGAACTTCCCATTCGGTGCCAGCTCAGTTACGGCCGCTTTACCAGCAAAGCCCTATTTGTAGAAATGCAGTGCATTACCTGTCTTTTATAGCGATCAATTTCCTTTACATGATGCAAAAGCAATTCTTAAAGCTTGATCTGCTGCTTACTGAACTGCAAGATGGTCAAGTGTACTCAAATATAAGGGAAAAGAACAAAAGTAATAAATGCTGGAAACCTATGAGCCAAGACTGTCTAAAGAGGCAAACTCTAGTTAAGGAGTTTATATTACTTTTTATTTTTTAGGAAACAGAATCTCTCTTTTAATATGTAATCCTAGAGTCGTATCTATTCATGCATTCAGTTACTGTAAGTTTCAGGAACACAGTTATGGTTCAAAATCTTGCTTATATGCTATCTCATAAGAGATTCGAGATGGCCTATACACAAATACAAATAAATCAACATACATCAGAAGGCCAAAATAGTTAAGATCCATGCATTTTATTGTGTGATATCTTACGCATACCTTTGTTAAAGCAAAACTGAAATCAAAGGAACAAATGAAAAAGCCAAGGGGAAGTAAGAACAAAAATGCTGGTGACGGGTCCTGCAGTTATTAACGTTGAATTGAGCATCTTGCCAGCCACACCCAGAGGAAAACAGGACCACTAGCTGATCCTTGTAGCAGAGGCTTCAGCTTTGAAAAGTTTCGAGTTAGATGCCTCCAGCGAAGGACAGCCTACTGAGTACTCCGCAGCGTGTATGTATATCAACACATTTCCTAAGTCCACCTCTGAATTTCTAACTGTTAGTCCAACTGGACACGTCAGCAGCGGGAAACAAAGGCCCAGTCAGCACCACGGAGGCTCAAATGAGAGGAAGAAAAGAGCTCAGGAAACCATGAAGCACAGTACACACTATAGGGTCAACTGCTCTAACCCTAAGCTCTGGGCGCGTGAAAACTGGAGAGGCCCTGATACCCAAACTTAGGAAAGGGGCGCAGGATTGACTTTAGTGTGACGGATATAGCCAGCTGAAGTGAAAGTGGCTCTGGAACCAGCTGTGCCTCCATCCAATTCATAAACAAACGCGTTAGGTAAAGTACAGGCGTGACTAAGCCAAGAACATTCCTGGGCACATCCACTGAGCTCTATGTATGGAGGCCCCAGCATCCACTTTTCTCCTTCATCTATGAGTCACAAGTCCCATGACTTTTAACGAGGCACATCGAAAGGCTGTATGTCCCAGCCTCCCTTCAACGAAGTGTGGCCATAGTGATATCAGTAACCAATAGCTTTTGTTCTTTCTCTTTCCCCAGTACAATGTAGACATGGAGATAAGTCTGCTCTGACTTTGGAGGTAAGACAACAAACTAGGGGTGGCTGACCAGCATGACAGAAGGAAACCAAGTCCTGAAAACTTTGTAGAGTATAACATTCCCTGAACCATGTGACTATCTCTGTGTATCACAAGAGAAAGATCAATTTTACTGAGGGCCACTACACTTCAGTTCCGTTTGTAAGATAGCTTAGCCTGTGGCCTAACATAATTCACAACCAAATGGAAAGAGGCAGAGGGAGGTTTTGAAGGATTCACGCAACACCCTAGAAATGTCTATTTGCGATTCACTTCAGCAAACATGTCAGAAAATGACAGCCATCAAAAAATTGTGCCTCTTCCTCCATCTCCAGGAGAGAGGCTCGCCATTTTCTGTGAGTAAAGGAAGAGACCTTTATTACAGAGCAGCCCCACACAAAATGTAGCCTGACATGGGCCAAGGCCAAATTCTCAAGAGCTGGAGGTACAGAATGTTTTCCCCACCTGTCCTACCTTTTCCCCTAAAGCAGGAAAGCTCCGGACTTCTCCACTCTTCATAATTACCGTTCTTGAGGAGAGGCCAAGTCCCACAAGGCATGGGGTGAAACATCTGTTGAGGAGCTGTGAGTGAGGGCAAAGGGAGGGAGTCCAGAGCCCCAGAACCAATGTCACAGCTGGGAAATGTAGAGGGAGAGAAGTCTCTGTGTTCCTGGGGCCCAGGGGTCTGCGGGTGCAGCACCCATTCCTCCTGATGGAGCTCAGCCGGGGCTGCTGGCAGCTGTTACCGAATCCCAGCCACCGGCACCTGCTGCTGCTTCCGGATCTTGTTGAAGAGCTCCATGTACTGGACCATGGTGTCTGCTGGGCTATAGACTGCGTCGTGTCTGTTCCCAAACACCGCCGGAGCGCCTGGTGTGTGGCTGCCTAGGAAACTCTGTAAAAACTCCAGTAGCAGGTTCCAGCAGTCACCAGCGACCACACAGGGGCCATATTCCACCTGAGGAGCACAACAACAGAGAAGAGGGTGAGTGAAGGCAAGGACGAGGTCTCCTGTCTCTCTTGTACCTCCTGCCCCAGCTCCCATTTTCCTCAGCCCAGGGCCAAAGACACATAGCCTCCAGCACACTGCTGCTCTACAGGAAATATTCAACCCCAACACCAGGGACTGAACACGCCCAGCGCCAGTCCCTCTGGGTGTCTCTGACAGCCTCAAAACTAAAAGTTAACTCACAGTCCTACCCACAAGGCCCAGAAGTAGATGTAGGCCACTTTTGGTTCTCTCAGGTCTATGTAGTCCATTATCTTATACTGTGGGAAAATTCTGTGAAAATGAGAGTAAAAGTGGCGGCAGGGGGCAGTAGAGAGCAAAGCAGACCTGTGGGAAACAGGGCTGCTAAGGTAGGCCCAACAGGCACTGATCCTGAGGAGTAATTTCCCAGCCTCTGTAGTTTTCTCATCCCCCCTCTCCTTATTTTTCACTGGAGATGACAGGGAAAAGTTATTGGTAACCATACGGACAAAACACACACACACACACACACACAAATATTTGGGATGGGTTTACACTCTAAAGCTGGAAATGTAGCGAGTAAACAAACTGTAGATTCCAGAAGAGTAAGCACAAATGCAATACAACGTGTATGTCAAGCTGAAAGGGCTCAGGAAATCTGACCCTCAGAGGCAGCTGGCGTCTCAGAGCTGTAACTACCACTAATGCCCTGTTCCCACCATGGGCGCTTTATTCCATGTCTCATTTCAAAGCCCTCTTTAAGCGCCACTCCTGCAGGGAGCATCTTAATCCCCAAGCTGAAAGATGACTGGATAAAATAGACATGGCATGTAAGCACAATGGGGAAAAATTTTTGAAATAGACATCACAGAATACTATTCAGTGATTTTTTAAAAAATGACGATTTGCTATGCAGCAAAGCAGAGGGAATTTGAGAGGATTATGCAAAATAGAAAAATCAGAAGGAGAAACAAGCACAAGAATTGGATGATTTTACCTATATGTTAGTATAAAAAAACAAAGCTGATGGACAAAACAGTAAACAAGTGAGGGCATCCCCCGAGAACAGGGGTTAGTCTCCCCATTATCAAGCTGTCACCAACCACTGATCACCAACCTGGCCAGGGAGCTGACCCACACGGCACAGCAGACCTCTCGTCTCACCTGCTGTTCCCCGCAGCAGTGTATTTCAGTCAATCTGCCTGTTCTGCTCCCCACTCTGTCACTGTTCTGGTGAATCCTCTTACCCCCAACATCTCTGGCTCAACCCCAGTCCTTGTATGCATAAGAAGATAGAAGTTTGAAGTTTGTTTGTTTTTTTTAAGATTTATTTATGCATACAGAACTGGGTACAGGCCAGAGGTACAGGGGCAGTGAGAGGCTTCACCAGAGACAGAGTGGAGAGCAGAACAGGCAGATCAATGAAGTACACTGCTGAGGGGAGCAGCGGGCAGATCAGGAGAGGTCTGCTGCGCCATGTGGGTCACCTCCGGGGCGGGTGCGGATCAAACTCATGCTGAAGTGGCTTTAGCTTCTTAGTGCTGCCCTTTAACCCACTGTGCCACCAGGGAGGGCCCAAGAAAATAAATCTTTTTAAAAAATAAACAAAAATAAACTAGTGGACTTCAACAGCAGAAATTAGGCAACCAGAGAAGCAGGTGGGGAGCTGGAGCAAGCATAGGGGGATCCAGTGAATGGTGGTGGTTTAAATAAAAATCCAAATATAGCAGTGCACTTACAAGCCCAAATTCCCACAACAATCCGTGGCTCCTTTGTAGAATTTCTTGTAAGACTAACTTCACAAAACAGTTTATATGCTCTGGACTTGCCTCTTACTAAATCATAAATTTTCCAAAGGCAGGCCGGTAGCTCTTGTTATTTACTCTCATACAGTGCTGAGCACAAGGTAGATGATGGACTCTTACTGGTCCCAAAGTCAACCTCTGCGTCTCCTGTCTTTGCCATGCTCAATATATACATCTAGGCTCAAAGATGAAGTCAATATACCCACTCTGCTGCTACAGAAGTAGACAGCATGTCAAAGGAAAGGCACCTCTTTTTCTTAAACACACTAAGGAACATATGATTTAGGAATCACCTTCCAAAAGTTAACTGCACCAGAAATTGCCCTGGTCTGCTATATTCCTCCTCATGAAGATGACTAGGCCCTGCACCCATGACTATCCCTTCCCTTCTCCAGCAAGCCAGTCTTTCTGGAACGTACTTTGAGTCTGACTTTCCACTTCCCATCCTGGGCTAGAGTCCCCGTATGACTGATGGAAGGGGGAAAGATGCTAGGACAGGGCACACAGACACTCTGTAAGTGGGTCCAGGTAAAGCAGAGCGGGGCCTGGAATCTTCAGAATCCTTTGCTGAGCCGCCCTTTCGGTGCATCCTGCTCCCACCACCAAGGTCTTACCTCCACGGAGATGCCGCGGGCACTCGGTCCCATTGTGACCGTGCCCACCTTCACTAGGAAGTCACAGTACTGGTAACGGGTGCCCCGGGTCTCAATCTTGCTGGCCTTGGCACTCTGGAAGAAGCCCTTGAGTTTCACCATAAGCACATCGAAGTTGGTGTCGGCAATAAGGCACGGGCCGTTCTCAAAGAGGGCAAAGCAGCTCAGAGGGTATTCTGAGTTGTGCATCACGTACATCAGCTTCCCAGACTGACCTGCAGGAACAGAGAGCCACTCAGCAACAAAGCCTCTGTCTGCTTACCCCCAGAACAGAGTCAAAGGCATGGAACAGGCAGGTGGCAACCTGGCGTTACCTCAGCTGTCTTGAGTGGAATTCCCTCATGCAGAGCCTTTCCAGAGAGGAATGGTGAGGGAGGCAGCAAGAGGTAGTACCCACCTCACTCTACAGAGAACGGGCACACAGGGAACACTGGGAGTGTTTGTAGTGGTTCAATTCTGCAGCTTGCACAGGAATGCTTAATGATAATGAGCAATTAATCAGACTTTATGTTGTGTTCTCTAGCATATGTTACATAATAAGGAAAACAAAAGTAAAGCATTTGAAGATGCCAATTAAAGCAGCAGCTCTTTTTCTGTCCATCCCACCCACCTATATAGGAAGCACCTAGGGAAGCAACAGAGGCAGGTAGGTATCTGAGCATGATGCTGGAAAGGCAGGGCAGAGCCAGGCTGCCTGTAGTAAGTCTTGTCCACCATGCCAAGAAGCCGGGACTTCACCATGAAAGCAATGGTGAATTGCTGGAGACCTGAAGATGTCCAGCCAACTGGGGAAGCAGAAAGAACTCAAGGTCTGGAATAAGAAGATACAGTTCCAAGTCCCACCCCTCCCAGCCTCTGGGAAATACATTTTCCCTTGATTACTATAGGATTTCTTCAAGAAGGAAGGAAAGCATTTGGTTAAGAGGGCAATGGAAGAAGGCAAAATACAGAAAGCAGGCCCTTTCTCTCTGCGATACACCACAAAATTAATGAATGGAATGCCACAATCTCAGATACTGAGGAGGCACAATGTGCTGGAGTTTACAGGCATACAAGCAGAGGGCTTAGCTCTTGGCTCCAAGACCGTCAGCTGACGGTCTCACTGGAGAGATGATGGGAACACGTGGTGGAGAGAGTGGAGAACTTAAAAAGACAAAATAAAATAAAAGTGCCTCCCTGGGAGAGACCGCAGTCTTTTGCCAGGCAGCAGAGACTTGAGGAGAGGAAGAGAACAAACGGACAAGGTCCTGAAATAGGGCATGTGGAGAGGGCAGGATCAGCCACAGAGAGAAGGAAAGAAGATGTTCAGGTAGGGATAAGAGCATAGCAACGGACAAGAGGAGCTGCGGAGTGGGGAGCAGGGGGCGTTGTGACTGCACAGGCCCCACTTTGCTGCCACTTCCAGAATTCAAAAGGCTTTGCGCAGAGCTGCCTGCCAGCCCTTGCTGCTTGCTGTCAGTTCACTCTTTTCACTTCCCACTAAATCCAGCTCAAAACGGCAGCCCGCAAAAACAAGTTGTCCAGAGCTGGACTGTCATTCTGTTCTCATGCAAACTCACTATAACTACACAATTTATATTGTAGGGGTCTGCAGGTGTTTATTGTCTTGAATATAATTTGAAAGTCACCTAAGAGGTTTTTGTTTTTTTTAAAAGAAAGGACACTTCCAGTTGCTTACAGGCAATGTCACTTTTTTTTTTTTTAATCATAACAAAAACGCTTCATATCTGTACAAACTTGTGAAGCAGGCAAAACCAATCTTCTGACCCTTTTCCAGATGAGGAAAATGTAGCTAATGGGCCCCAGACCAGCAGCAACAACACCATCCGGGAACCAGTTAAAAGTGCAAACTCTTAGCCTCACCCAAATGCACTAAATCAGAAGCTCAGGCAGGGGTTCAGCAAGCTCTCTTTGTGGTGCTAACACTAGCCAGCGAGAGAAACTCTAATCTAGGGCCCAAAACCGTCAGGAGCACAACTCCCAATCCAGGCCTTCCGACCTTAGGTTTATTGCTTCTCCTACTGCGGCCATGGATGTGTCATCTCCCAGTCATACTGCAGCAAATTAGAAGTAAAGGTCTGGGCCCTCCCTGGTGCCGCAAAGGATTAAGACAGTTTAAGGCACAGTGCTGCAAGGGAGCCATCAGGCTCCAGAGGTGATCCATGTTGGGAGGCAGACCTCTCCTGACCACACACCCCCATACCCCACCCCCCTACCCCCCTGCTGCTCCCCTCAGCAGTATACTTTGTCAATCTGCCTGTTCTGCTCCCCATTCTGTCTCTGGTGAATTCTCTCACTGCCCCTGGACCTCTGGCCTATGCCCTAGCTCTGTATGCATAAATAAATCTTCTAAAAAAAAAAAGGTCTGCTCAGGAAAACAACCCACCAGCACAGTCACAGCTGTATACAAATGTTGTTTTCCAAATGCCTTTGTAGCTATTTATCTTTTGATTCTTAGCCCCTTCTTATTGAAAGCAAGACAAATATTAACATGGTGACTTTAACTACAGCAAAACTCAGTGCAGTTGTTAGCTATCATTTATTACATACTTTTTACATGACAAGCTGTTTTTCGCCTTAATTACTTTATCCCATTAGCATGCCACCACTAAGAGGCAAGTACTATGATTATTTATGAGGAGACAATGCCACCGCCAAAGATAGTGCCCAAAGCAGAGGGAGGGCAGCAGTGGGTTCTCCCTTCCTCTCCACTCTAATCTTTCCCAGTACTATTCATTTTCAATTACTTTATTAGTTTAGTTTACTTATGAATAGAAGAACTGGGGTATAGGCCAGATGTGTGGGATGTGAGAGGATTCACTTGCCCTCTGAGAAATGCTGCTTTAAAGGTACAAACCACACGGTCCTCCTGGTGGTGCAGCAGTTAATGCTCAGCACTATAAAGCTATCCAAGCCACTGCTGCACCAATTCAATCCCTGGCCAGAGAGGTGACCCACAGGGCACAGCAGACCTCTCCTGACCTGCCCACTGCTCCCCTCAACAGTGTGTTTCAGTGGATCTGCCTGTTCTGCTTCCCAGTGTGTCTGGTGAAATCTTCTCACCCCCTGCATCTCTGGCCTTTACGTCAGTTCTTGTATGCATAAATAAATAAATCTTTTAAGAAAAGAAATGTATAAACCGGAGGGAAAAAAACCAAACCGTTCCAGTCTAAAAAGATAAAAGACAAGAATGAATGAATTCAGAAACACATCTTCCACGTGTTAAAGAAGACCCTCCCTAGCAGAACAGAAAGACTTTGGAAAATGTGAATGTCTATAACTCTAAGCCAAGTTCGAGCCATCCTGAAGACCCATCTCACTGACCTTGGCTGCCAAGGGTAGAAGTAGCTGTGTGGTAGGTCTCACAATCCACACAAAATGTTCCTTGTTTCTCTGCCCCGAGCATCTCCAATTTCCGAGTGAGGAGCTCCACGGTCTGCTGGACACTCTTGCCCTCAGCTACAGGCATCTGGGACACACTGGAAGGGAAAGTATCAAATCATCAGTACCCACAGACACACATTCTGGAGCCACACAGTCACCCAAAGAATCCCAGCTCATTAGGGGAGACTCCCTATCCTAAATGCTCATTTCAAAGACAAGAGGTCCATTGTCCCTGAAAGCAATGGTAAGCCCTAGAGTGTGGGTCTCAGGGTTGTCACTTGAGTGCAGTGAACTTACTATCTATTGCACTAGCATCTTTTTTTTTTTTTAAGATTTATTTATGCATACAGAACTGGGATACAGGCCAGAGGCTCAGGGATGGTGAGAGGATTCACCAAAGACAGAGTGGGGAGCAGAACAGGCAGACTAACAAAGTATACTACAGAGGGGAGCAGTGATTGGGCCAGGAGAGGTCTTTCGCGCCTTTTGGGTCATCTCTGGAGCTGGAATCAAACTAATGCTGAAGTGGCTTTAGCTTCTCAGTGTTGTGCTTTAACCCACTGTGCCACCAAGGAGGGCCCGGGACTAGCATTTTCTAAACAAAGTATGTGTGCCACCATTTGAGAGGATTTTAGTGACACACCAGCTGAACACTTGGTAACAGTGAGTCTTAGGATGAGAAAAAGATTCCCTTTGCAAGTCTTTTAGTTCTGACTATATTAAGGAGAAAGCCTCAGTTTGGGTTTTGTATGTTTATACCTACTCTGACACTTTGAACTTATGATCTCTAGAAGAGTAGCCACATGCCACATGTAACGATTCCACTTAAACTAATTAATTCAACTCCTCCGGCCCTCCTTAGTGGCACAACGGGTTAAAGCTCAGCACTGTGAAGCTAAAGCTGCTTAAGCTTGAGTTCGATCCCCTACCAGGGATGTGACCCACATGGCTTGGCAGATTTCTCCCGACCTGCCTGCCGCTCTTCTCAACAATATATTTCACTGATCTGCCTGTTCTGCTCCCCACTCTGTCTCTGGTGAATCCTCTCACAGGCCCTGCTCCTCTGGCCTGTACCTTAGTTCTTGTGTTCATAAATAAATCTTGCAAATAAATAAGTCTTTTTAAAAAATTCAACTCCTCAGTTGCACTACCTACATTTCCAGGGGTATCCATAGATAGCTGGGGGCTAGGGTTACTAGACAGTGCTGATAGAGAACATTTCCATTAAGGCAGAAAGTTCTAGTCAACAGTCCCAGAATCAAAGAGAAAGCATGTCGTCAGTCTATAATCTTTGGGAGTTATTTAAAAGAATTAAAAAATATATTTATTTATTAATTCATACTGCTGAGGGCAGCAGCAGGTAGGTCAGGAGAAGTCTGCCGTGCCATGTGGATCACTTCCAGGGCTCGGGATTGAACTGGCACTGAAGTGGCTGCAGCCAGCTTGCAGTGCTGCATCCTAACCCATTGCACCGCCAGGGAGGGCCTATTTAAAAGAATTTAATCAAAACAAAGTACTATCTAAGAGATTTCCTTCTAATGTGACTAAAAATGGCTTCCCCTTTAGAACAGTCACCAGTCAAATCCTTCCCATGGTGGTGGTTGTTGCCAGGAGGTAACAATCACTAAATGCCAATGATATGTCAGGTAGTATCTTAAAGACTGTATATGACTTAACACTTCAAATCTTTCCAACAGTCCTGTAAGAGGTGCTATTATTTATCTCCCAATTAATAGGAAACTGAAGAAAACAAGCACAAGGTGACACAGTGTGGCAACATCTGGCCAAGAACCCAAGCCAGGAAAACTGGTCCCATGTCCATGCTCATAACCACCACACTAGACTGCCTCTCTAAGCAGTTGTCTGGTAAAATACTTTTAAGGAAATATAAGTAGATTTAAAAGAAAACACTATGAATAACAGAATAGACAGAACTATCTAAAATCATAAAGACAGTTGTGAGTGACTTTTGTGAGAAAGTATATTACTTTATTATCATAAATGAAGCTATAAGGTAAAACCCTACTGTTGCTAAAATTTGTCACTCCTTGCCATCAAAACCACGGATAAGACACAGTGATGGTGTGACTTTTTTCTTTTTTGCAATAAAAAAGAATCCCTAAACTGATGCTACTGGGGAAAGAAGTTATAGGATTCTGACAATGTTGGTAAGGAGAGTCCTTCCCCTTTGTCTTCTTCACTGAAAAACAGAGGCCTCCATGGTTGCCAATCTTTGTGGTGCAAACTTTCATCCCCATCCCTCATACATCCCCCTACCACTGGAAGACTTAATGGAGGATCATAATGTCCACTGTCAGAAACAAAGGTACAATCACTATGAAACCTGCTTACGAGATTATCAGGAAGGGTGGTTCTTTAAAGATTTATTTATTTATGCATACAAGAACTGAGGTACAGGCCTCAGCAAGTGTGTGCGAGAGAGGATTCACCAGAGGCAGAGTGGTGAGGAAAACAGCAGATTGATTGTGATACACTGCTGAGGGAAGCAGCGAGTAAGCCAGGAGAAGTCTGCTGTGCCGTGTGGGTCAGCTCCCTGGCCAGAATAGAACCAGTGCTGCAATGCCTGCGGATAGCTTCATAGTGCTGGGCCTTAACCCCCTGCCACCAGGGAGGCCTCCCCACAGGCTTTTCTATGGGGAGCTTAGAGTCAATTGATTTCCTGGTCTTCAATCCTCTCCAGAACGATGCTCACATTTACCAATGTATATACTTTGAAAGTCCTAATCCAGTATTTTGGAATTAAGAGCATTAGGTCCATACTTTTTCCTGACATCCTGATAACATATGCGGTACAAAGTTTCACAAAACTAGATCTACCCTATAATTAAACATAGCTGGAAATAGATCCTGAACATCTATCTCCTATTTCTCAGTGGGTTCTTTTTCCTCTCTCTAGACTCAAGATCTCAAAATAACCAAACTAGAACCAAAAGGAAGCTGACCTAGCTACAGTTGGTGGCAGTAGTGAGGTGCAAGCAACAAACTAAAAAAGATACTGTCTCCTGGTAGCCTCATCCCCATCCTTCCAGCCCGGCTTGTAGTTAGGTCTCTATGTAAGCATCCTATGTTGGACCCTCAACTCCAAGCACCGCAACACTATGGCCTCACGGGCAGGAACATGGGCCAGGAAAACGGGAAGAAGGTACACAACCTTTGATGGGCTCATGGGATAAAACCTTTTACCTGTTGCCTTCCAGAAGGGACGCATCTCCGAGGAAACCGTCCCAGAGAATCGGCAGCCCTCACTGAGTCCCACTCACCCACACAATTCGAGGGCATCTTGCTCGGCTGCTTGGGGAACGATGGACCCAAACGGTGGACCCTGGTCACGATCCTCCTCCCTGTGGTCTCCCGGTTCCGAAGACCCTTCACGTCCCCAAGCCCCACCCCACAAAACCCTCTGCATTCCTACCAAGTCACTCCCATGGTGTCGTGCCAGGCGGGTGGCAGGATCGAACAACCGAACCGCTGTGTTCTCGGACCGCCACACTACGTGAAAACCCCAAGCTCAAGCGTCGGTGGAAGGAGGAGCTCCGGAAGCTACGTAAACACCGAGCGCCCACGAGGAACGCGGGCGTGGCTGCCCGCCTCCTAGGTGACGCTCCATGACGTCATACGCCGGGTTCTTGCCCCCAGGCTTGAAGCTCCGGAAATTCCAACTTGTCCGGGCACCAGGAGGCACGGAAAGCGTGGCGCGGCTTCCTGTCACTATAAAAGCCAGGGTCAAAAGCACTGCGTTTACTCGGGAGTCAATTCACGAGCTGGTTTAGGGGGTGGGACGATGCCAAGGGCACTTTTGACCTCCCGACGCTAGGGGACGCTGTGGTCCTTCTGTGTCCTCTTGGGACCTGGTAATCACTGGGCATGCGCACTCGGAGCTGTTTTTTCTTCTGTTCCCACGTGTGAAACTTCCCTACAACATTTTGAGGAGAAATGCCCAAAATCAAGGTGCCCCGTGGGGCCGGAGGTCAGGAAAAACATGCCCCGCTGGCCGACCAGATCCTGGCTGGGGACGCGGTGCGCCCAGGGGCTCGGGAAAAGAGGCGGGGTCGCGGAACCCGAGACGAAGACGAAGAGTATGTGGGACACCGGCTGACACGACGGATTTTGCAGCAAGCGCGGCAGCAGCAGGAGGAGCTCGAGTCCGAGCATGGCACTGGGGGCAAACCCGCGGCGCCGCGGGAGCGCACCACGCGGCTGGGTGAGTGGCGGGGAGTGAGAGTGAGGGATGGTTAGTTGGGAAGTGGCTGGCTGGAAGATGTCGGGCCATCAATAGCTTGGAATCAAATCAGTCACCCATATAGGAAACTTGGGAAGTAATGGAATGGGAGACCCAGCCCTGGAGTGGGCTTAGAGAAGCCTTCTACGCCGCACTCGTGGTTTAGGTACTCCTTTCTAATCACCCTGGAGGTTAGGCCAAAAGGAAGTGATCGCTCATACCATTAAGTTGTATTTATCCATTTCTTCAGTATATGCTTAGAGGTTCTCTACTAGTTTGGATAATCTGGGTACAGAAGTAAACAAGGTAGACGTGGCCTTGATTTCAAGGATCTTGCAGGAGAGGGCGAGGGAAGAGAGAGAATGTGAATATAAATAAATAGTTCCTGGAGTGCATTTCTTAGATCACCTCCTCTTTGATTTGTTCTGAGAGTGGTATTTCATCCATTGACCAGTGGCCCCCTGGCTACTGTAGATTTTACCTGGCTTTTAAGTTATCACATTCCTGTTTTATGATTTCTTCCCCTCAAGGTATCCTTTACTAACCCTCTTCTGTCACCACCTTAACATTAAAATGCCCTTGGCTCGGTCTCTGGACTGCTTCTCATCAAATACATTCACTATTCCGGTGCTGACACTAAGTATTATACCATCTATTTGGTAACTGCTCCCAACTTTATATTCCAGCCCTGATCCCATCAGGCCTAGATTCTTCTATTTCAGTTGCCTGTTTCGCATCTGCCATTTGAAGTCTAATAGACCCCAAATTTCACATGTCCAAAACAAATTCCAACCACCCCAAAACTGATCCTCGCACTGTCTGCCTTGTCTGTTAGTTGCATCATAACTTTCTGTCTCCTCAAGACAGACTCCTTTTTTACATTTGATCTGTCAAAAAAAAAAAATGTTGACTCTGTCGTTAAAAATATATGCAGAGGAGGGATCTCCCTGGTGGCACAACAGGTTAAAGCACAGCACTGCTTTTGAAGCTAGCCTTAGCTGCCTCAGTGTGAGTTCAATCCCCAGCCAGGTCTGTGACCCACACGGCACAGCAAACCTCTCCTGTCTCTCCCACTGCTTCCCCCTACAGTGTACTTTGTCAGTCGCTTCTGCTCCCCACTCTGTCTCTGGTGAATTCTCTCACCACCCCTGTACCTCTTGCCTGTACCCCAGTACTTTATGCATAAATAAATAAGTCTTTAAAAAAAAGTGTTTCATTAAAAATATATATATGTGTATATATATGTATGTATGTATATATATGTATGTGTATATATATGTGTGTGTGTGTATATATGTATGTATGTATATACACACACATTCATGTTCTCTTGCCTGGCCCTAAAATTATATATATGTACAATCACCATTTGGAAACACCATTCTGTTAAGTCATTTGCTATCTCTCATCTTAAGTACTACTGTGGCCTAATTAGCATTCTGTCAACTCTCACTTCAGTGAACAGAGGATTACAATAGTCTGCAAAGCCTTATGGGAATGATCTGCCCACATTGCCACTGATCTTTCTGATTTCAGCTTTTGCCATCTTCTATTCATACATATAGGAATGCTTCAACATGACAAGTTAGGACCCTTACTCTAGTTGTCCTCAAACATCACCTGTATGCTTACTTCTTCAATTCTTTACCTCCTTCGAGAAGCCTGCCCTAACTTCTCCCCTTAAAATGGCAACATTCCCACCCCTGTCTCCACCCTCCTAGCTTTACTCTGTCTTATTTTTCTTCACAGCATTTGGTCTTGTTTTAACCTCATAAGACTATATTTGTGTACAGTGTGTCTCCCCCATTAGGATGTAAGCTCTATAATGGCGAGAAGCCACTAAGACATTTCCAGTGCCGAGAACAGTGCCTCACGTGTAGTAAGCACTAATGTTTGCTAATTGGATAGATTAATGAGTGATGGTGAGGTGCTTCGCAATCAAGTCTACAAGTTGCCCAGGACTTAAAGCTCTCTTAAAGGAAGTGGAAAAAACTGAGAACTATTAAGGGGTTGTTGGATTAATGCAGCTGAAAGATGATACTGACCTAGATTTAAAGGGAGCTATGAAGGATTTTCAAGGTGTTCTACAAGGCATTGAGACCTAGAGCAGAATATGGGGCAGGACTGTCTCCTAGGCTCTGGCTTGCTGTTGGGTAGGCCGTGGTGCCATCCGCTGAATTGCAAAACCTAATAATGTTGACTAAGGAGGGAAAGAGAGTGAGTTTGAGTAATGACAGGTAATTGACACCCGTAGGTCATCTAAGAGCAACTATCCAGGAGCCAGCGAGAGTTAGAGTTGAGCAAATGGAGCTCCACCTATAGGTGCAGGTTTGGGAGTTGTTAAACACGTGGAGACTATCAATTCCCATTCCCATTTAGCTTTGTCGCACAGTATCCCTGTGCTTAATGTCCTACTCGCATGTAGCAGTTTACCTCCCCGTTTGGATTACTGTCACCCTTCCAGATACCCAGCCAGTGGTGATTTGCCAGTAGTCAGTTATTCAAGTGGTTGGTCCGCTGAAATGTGAACCCTGTTGCTCAACCTCACGACCTTCATAATCTGGCATCACTTCACCTGTCTAGTATTATTTCTTGCTATTGCCTAAGAGACACTTGTCACCAACCCTTGTGCTGGTGGTGTTATCCAGGTGTAGAACACCCCTCTAGCTCCACATCGCTTATCAAGATCCTGCTGATTGGGCCCTCCCTGGTGGCGCAGCGGGTTAAAGCACTGCACTAAGAAGCTAAAGCCACTTCCGCATGAGTTCAATCCCTGCCTGCCCCGCAGG